CACCCTAGGAGGATTCACCATCGTCGAGCAAACTTTCCTTTTGCAAAAATGCCTTTCGAAAACGAGAGAAAGACAGAGAGCTTGCAATTAGAGAGCAGGGTAGAAATTCGCGTCTTTCATCGAGGATGTCGTGAAATCGTAGAAGAAGAAACGACGGGGGCGAGGGCGGCGGTCGGCGCAGACCACATCGAGGTGGTGTGTGAGCAAACGCAAGGGACAGAGGCAGTGTGGTGGCACCACACACAGTTGAACAGGCCGCGAGGACTTTTGCACGTGTGGCGCCGCAGCCGCTGTACTTCCCTGTACGTTGAACTATCGATCGTTTTCAGGGCGGACGCAGACCTTGCCGCGCCAGCTTTCTCGCACCCTCGCCGCTTCCGCTTTCTCTCTGTCGCGCGCCATTCGTTCCTGGACTTGGCGAAACTCTTTCGCGGCCTCTGACTTTCCTTCCTTTCCTCGTCTCTCGTTCCCTCGAGCAAGGCTCGTTAACAAAGATGTCGAACGAGGACGTTGAACGTTGGTGTCGGTTGTTGCTCCACGACCAAGGCGTTCAACCCTTTGAGACTGTCCGACGAATTACAACGAATCACGACGGTGGTTGTGGCGTTCGATTATTTTGATCTCTATCTTGCGACATCGCGATGAGAAGCTGCTGAACAACTCGACAATCTCTGAAAGAGATTTCATGGTTGGACGTAACTGTTTTCGTACGTGGACATCTCCGAGATCATTTTTCTTGGATATTCAGCGCGATTATCGGTTATTGATGGAGTGTTCTTAGAAACTTTCAGAGGAACTTGCCAAGGATAATTGAAAGACACTTGTCAGACTTTTGCAATATCTCTTGAGCCTCATTCCAGATATTACATTATTCTGTAGTTTCTCGCGTCCCTCCGTTACGCCACTTTAGAAATTTCAATCAGGCGGTAACTTTGAAATTTTATTAAAGAAGAAATACTAATTTCAATCGATCATATGCGTTATAAGGTTAACGCCTCTCTTCTATTTACTAAATTAAAATAGACAGATGTATCTATCGTAATAATATTTACGGTAAACATTTCTTTAATAAAGCAAATTACTTGCGGGTTTAAAAATAAACATTCGTGCAGTTGTAATATCGTGTTGGAAAATCTCTGCAGCCTCGTCTCAAATATTCCTCGCCTGTTTCGTTCTCGCTTTTAGTACCACTCGATAGCTATCGATATCCGATACTTCGCGTGTCTTTATCAGCGACTTTATTTGATTATTACACTCCGATCCATTCCGTTTTTCATTTAAATGCATGGAATTGTTTTTATACGTCCTCCACTCTCCCAGAGGATGCTGCTTTTGAAAGAGTCAGCCGATAAAAAAAACCCGCCGTTTCGATAATAAACTCGATCTTTCGAAGGCTCTTCCCTCATTTCTTTCTGCCCTTAAGCGCTGAACAGTCGATAATATCGTTGAGAATCAGATTGAACCCGACTGATCGAATGTCACCAGAACGAGAGATCCTTCTTCTTTAACGATCTCGCGTTACACACAAGAGTCGCTCTCTTTTTAAAACATTGCCCGCTGCTTTGCATTCCCTTTTACACCGTGATGATAAAAAGTCCGCGTAACAATTCCCTTAATCTGCATTCTAATTTTTCGTTGTCGTTCCACGTGTCGCAAAGTCTCCTTCTACTTCTGGTTATTTTTTTTAAAAACCTTTCTCCTTGTTGTTTTTGCCGCAGCTTTATCTACGCGCGCTTATGAATTCTTTTTCATTCGTTTTGACGTTATAAAATTTTTTAAAAAACATTAGGTCACGTCGTCCCTTTTCGAATCGTTCACTGTCGAATTTTCTCCTTTCGGAATTCTGCACTTTTTTCCCCGAAAAATCCTTCGAAACGTTTGACTGAAAAATTGATCGTGATAACGTAGCAGAGGTTTCAATAAGTATTCCAGAATTTTTTCGAACTTTTTTTTGGGAACGTAGAACAGTATAGAAATGATCCGCGAAAGAATATGTCCTCTCACGAAGAGTTTGCTACTATTAACTGTCACTGTTCTTTTTTTTTTTTTTTTGGACAACCATTTTCCTTTCTTCTCGTCAAGTTTTCAGCGATTCGAAGCTTTGCCACTGTTTCTACCTTTAATAATTTCTCTACGATTTTTCGTCATTGCCTAAGGCGATTTCCACCGATTTTTTTTTGTTCGTTTTGTACGTGAAACGATAGTCAAAACGTTCAAACGCTGATACCACAAAATTTTCTTCCTTTTCCGAGGTAAACATTTCGCAATCCAGAAATGGGATTCGTTTCTCGACATTTTCGACTTTTTATAAAAAATGTGAATTGTGAAAATACTTCGACCAATCACTTTGTATTTACTGAAAAATTTCTTTTATGCTTCGACATTAATTTCTTAATGTCTGAATCTTTTATTTGTTTATTTTCGACACTGCAACAGTATTTTTAATAGCGCTTACTTTAAAAATCGAAGTCGGTCAAAAAACATTTAATCCACCTTTTTGATCGTTCGTTTAATTATTGAGCAGTTTTCGTAAAAAAGAATGTTTATGTAAAATGATCACGTTTCACGGGTTATTGTGTACTTTTACACCGTGATACTTGTTTTCTGTAATGGTACTTACGTACCATGTTTTGTTCTCGTTGAACTCACATTCACATTCTCGTTTGCGTATGAAAGATTAAAAAAAAAAAAATAACCCGATGATAAATTTGAAAAATTATATTCTCAGTGAATAATATTTCCGTGAGACGTATAATAATTTTATATCAATATACACACATATATATTTCTTTTTCTCAATTTTTCGCTTTTTTTTCACGGCTTTGTAACAATATCTAGTAAGTTGACAGTAGCTAGCTTTTTTTTTTACAAAATTTATCGTTTTTGCCCCCATAATTATCGAAACTTCACCTACTGGAAACCTACATATGTAAAAATGTTTTGAAAATATATTTTAAAATATTCCAGTAGCAATATAATAAATTTGTATCATTATTAAAACATTAAAAAAAAATGTTTCTCCTGTAGCTAATAAGTACAAACGTAATAAAATCTATTTCGAAATATTCTAAAATAAGAACGCAATAGATTCTTCTCAATATTAATATGTAAGAGAAAGTTAAAAATTTATTCTACCTATTTTCATAATTACAAACTCTAAGAGTACAAACCTAAAAATATTTAAAAACCTATTCTGAAATACCCGAGTAAAAATGTAATAAATTTTCAATATTTAAAACGTGAGAAATTACTCTTACCATAAAAAATGTTTTATACAAAAATTTATTACTTCCACCTTCGTAATTATTAAACTCTACGTACAAATGTAAAAATATTTAAAAAACCTATTCTGAAATGAGAACGTAATCAATTCTCAACATGTTAGTACGTGAGAAATTGAAAAGTTTATTAGAAACTCATCATAATTACCACATCCTAATTTATAAATTTAGATGATAAATTTAAAAATTTATCACTTCCACCTTCGTTTATTAATTATTAAACTCTACGTACAAATGTAAAAATATTTAAAAAACTCATTCTAAAATGAGAATGTAATAAATTCAAAACATGTTAATATGCGAAAAATTACCTTCGAGTCATAAAAGGATTCAGTCAAACGAATTCACGAATCGTTCCTAAAGACCTCGCTATGGCTGGCGTTACAATTTCATTGAGAGTAACTGCAGAGACAATCGAAAACAATTGGCAAGTATTCGAAGTTGTTCGGATGGAATTACTGCGACCAATATCGAATGTCTCGTCGATCCCGAAAGTTCGCGCCGCAAATTGCTCCGACGGGGGGGTTAATTTCTGCAACTTGCCGCGAAATACACACAGAGGGGCAGAGTATACGAGACACGATCGATAGCGGTTTCGTGATTCATCGCCGACAGGTTTCGCGGCTGATCCGAACGAGAATCGTGCGTAGAAAAACATTAGATTCCTCGGTAACGTGATCATGTGCCTTATTAAAAGAAAAATGTCGATCGCTCGTCGATCGATGGCTTCCGGGATACAGTTGCCGCGCGCAAGTTTGACGTTGCGTTGATTTTTTGAAAGTATACAGCTCGCAAAAATTAGGGGATAGTTCAAAATGGAAGCAAGAGGCATTTGATTTTCTTTTTTTATTAAACAAAAACACATCAGAAAAGCAAACGACAAATTGAAGAAAGTTGTTCTTGTTTAGTAAAAAAAAAGAAAAAAAAAATCAAATGCTTCTTCTTTTTATATTTATTTTGAAATATTCTCTAATTTTTGTGAGCACTGTACATAGAAAAAAAAGTCTTCAAAGATCGAACAATTTTAATTCTCAGCTGGTAAGTGATTATCAAGAGTTTCGATCATGTCGTTTAATTTGAATTTACGCACTTCGTTTGAATTTGTATTCCGTGTTTCTCTCGCGACGCGGAGGAATACAAATGAAACGAGAATGCAGGTCGAAAAAACGTAGAAACCGAAATCGACAACGCACCACAGCCGGAAGTCGAGCGCGAGATAATCCCGAAACTTTGAATACCTCGAATCGGGAAATCCCGTTTGAAATTCCGAAACGTCGAACACTTTTTCGATTTCGAAGCCTTGTAAATACATTTGAAACGTCGAGGCAGCGGAAAATTCAGAAATTTGAAAATTCAATCGAACGTTTCAGATGAACGTTTCGAAAATTAAAAGATCAATCCGTGAACAAAATGTGATGGACGCGGCGCGCGAGGAACGATCTAGGAAATAAAGAAGAACCCGGTCCAAGGAAAGAAAAAATGTTGTCAAACAGGCCAAACGGGCAACCGTTTCACTCCTAGTCGCCGATCGAACGAGCAGATCCCATCAAGATTCACTTGACAACATATCATTTTTGTGTGTCGAATAAGCGTGTGTCACGTGTGTGTCACATATTACACGGCATGTAAGAGGCCGGTGCCGTTCACGGCACGGTCGGTCTCCGGTGGCTGGAGTATTAAAACTCTTAACTCTCTAAGGTATCAGTATCATCGTGTCACCTGTGATGGCGATCTTGCAGGACCACTTGCTGGTACCCTCAAGGACGATCTGTTCGGCCTGCTCGAGGCTGTCTATGTGCGTGTCCGGGTCGACTGAAAACGTCGTGCTGAAAAGAAGACAATGTCCTCGTCATCGGATCGTCCTTCGACAACCTCTCGTACCCGTGTCCGTCTCGGCGAACATCCCCAGTTTAAAAAGAAAAAAAAAAAAAATCCCCTAATTGTCCCTTGAGAAAACGTTGCGGCGGTCAATCACGCACCACGAGGTACCTTACAGAGGCCACCGAAGGACGTGGTGCAGGACTGTCTCGAGGTCGTCGATTGTCGTGAAAACGTCATCATCCAGCAGCGGCGGCGATTCAGCCCAAAAACTAGCGATACACAAGGGGGTAGGGGGAGGGGGAGGGGGAGAGGGAGGGGGGGAGGTTGGTAAAATTGGACGAACCGGAGGAACCAGAGAGGCAATCGTGGTTCCTCCTGTTCGTGGGAATGGAAATTCCTTTTTTTCTTTCTTTCTTTCTTTCTTTCTTTCTTTGGCTAAATGACTTTTGGCAATTTGGTTGTGAAAGCAATAAGCGTTTCCATACTTTGGAATTCAGTATCCAGCACATGATGTGGACATTGCACGCACATTGTGTGAAGGCAATCGCTCTTTGTCTTTTTTTGTTGTTGTTTTTCTTGCTGTTTTCTTTTGTCGACTAAACGATCACGTGCTTTCTCGCTGAGGGTGTTGCATAAGCGGCATGAGAGTATAGTAAGTAAGTTTGTTGTTGTATGAGACGGTATCCGTTCGTTGTACTCGGGATGATACTTCGAGAACGTCGAGTCTGTCGACGATGATTCGAAGCCTGTCGAAAGTTTCTGACTCAATGTCTCGAAAATTTCGATCTTAGGATGTTCTGAGAAAGCCGCGAGAGGATTACAAGTCAACAAAGTACTTGCCACGAAACGATCAAGATTTCCAAGGCTTTCAAGATCTTTTCAAGCGTTCCAAGCTTCGAGTCGTGTACGAGTCGTGTTTCAAACTCGATCTCGAGTACGCCACGCAGATTCGAATTAATCCGAGAATTTCGAACAATTTGTCGCGATGGCGAAGCGACCTTTCTCATACATCGCTAGATACGAACGTACGAAATAACGAGACGTACAGCGATACGAGAATGCCCGAAACAAACGGATACCGTGCTGAACAGAGATTTTGCGTAGGATCGAGGTCGCGGTCTCGGGAAGCTTTTCCTACTCGAATCGTTGGATGCGGTTGCGAGTGAATTGGTGGTTGGTCGAGGGAAGCGGCGCGAATAAAAGCGATAGAAGAGAATAATAACAGTTGCTTCGGGGACAAGGGAGCCGAGAATCGTGATGGAAGCGTGTTGTGTACCGTGAAATGGGAGAAGATAGTCGTTCGAGCGAACGGTGTTTCTGTGAAGAGTTGGCGTGACGCTCGCGAGGAACCGGATCTGGAACGAATCCTTGCCGCTTGACGCGGAAAATGGTAACAATGAGGAACGCGGAGGAACGAGTTTTTCCTCCAGGCGAAGTTTTGTATACTTCCCGACTGGACGAAGAAGCGGACGAAGTTCGCGAGAGAACGGAAACGTCAACGAGTCAAAATGGCAACGACGAATGGCTCGTGGAAATTCTATCTTCTATCTTTTGATCCCATTCCTGATCCTTCGTGGGACATTAGCTCGCAAAGAAAGGTGACAATAGTCGATGAATACGGAAGCTCGGAGATTGAACTCGGAGCGTTGCTTGTCGTGGTAATATTGAGGAATATTGCGAGATATTGGAAAAGATAACGTGAAATATTCTTTTATCATATTTTATTCGTCGAGTGTAAAAGGAAAAATTTTCTTAACCGTTGAGTTGGTTTGTTCATTAATTTTCAGAATATTTTTTAAATCTTTGTTGTGTTCAAAGTTTGAAAGCTGAGTTTTGATCTACTGACAATACAATCTGATGTATCAAGATCAGACATACTAACCTCTTGCGCTGGAATGACGTGCCACGCACGTTGAGAATTTTTTATCCCAAAATTGTAATATTTATAATAAATAAAAAAAAAAAAAAGAAAATAAAGGCAAACAAACAATAAATTTATTGCTTCTCAATAATTTCTATCCAGCGATACATCATATCGACGAGTTCGAGAAGAAAGCGACGAATTATTGTATACGGTTCACTGGTCACTCGTTATGGTCCGCAATCCAGTTGCCAGCGCAAGTGGTTAAATTCTCGAATAAGTTCACGTTCCTTTAAAACATTTTTATCTGGTACTCGAATAGTAACGAGAAAATCCAATGTTGAACTCAACAATGAAAAGCTTCTTTCATAGTTAAGAAACTAGTTAAGAAAATTTCTGATCTTAACGACTGTAGTCTAATTCATCTTCTTACGTGCCCTCTCGTTGCTTCGAGAAACTACCGATATTCGCGATCCCGACGCTACCAGTTAATCCTCGTGATGTTGGAAATTAGCATCGACACGTTTAGACTTGCTGCTTGTCAGCGTGTAATAAGAAAACTTGTTGCGCCGTGGATCATCGCCAACTTCGTAGTACCTTTGCACCCTCGTCACGCTGGCTGGGACAAGCAGTTTCGCCCATGAAGTCTTTGTATAGTCGTAGCGGAAATTCGAAGTTAAACAGATGGTTGAATTGGCCGGGCGTTGAAATTCTAGAAATTCTAGACGCCGGTGACTACTTTAATTTTCAGTGGAATTGACAAGATTAAACGACGAAACGAGTAGGAACAGAGAACGACGAGGATTCAAAATTTGACCATTGAAATTATTTTACAAAACGTTTCCGCGGCCAATTTGTAAGTTATTAACTGGAGAAAGGGCCACAGTTTTCTCTTACTTCGAATCTTTTTTCAATATTATGTAACAAAGTATCAGTTTCAGAAGTTAACATTACATCATAAAATTATTCAAAGTCTAAAGTTTCAAATTACTGGAATATATCTGCAACTCGAATACGAAAAAATCATTGAAACAATTATGTTCTCCAAGCATTCATATATAACAATAATAATAATAATAGCACAAAATATCAAAAATTCAAAAATCACAAGTCGAGTATTAAAAATTCCAACCTAAAAATTGGAACAATGCTAGAAATTCTATCCAAAATATTCGCAACCGTCGGAACGGTACGGAATTCGATTTCAACAGTCGGGGAAACTTCGACGGACAAACGAAATTTTGACAAACGCGCGAGACCAGAGCACGGGGAAGAAAATTCTGCCGATATACGGGGCGATATTTCGAGTCCATGGCGATAGATTACTCGGTGGTCGGTGCGGATCGTTTCCGATAAACGTCCGTATGGCATCGAGGATACTGGTTAGGCGTTGGCTCACGATGCCCGATCTATAGAGCCGGCTTAGCTTTGACAATGGCGCTGGTACACACAGCCGAGCCACAACAAGTTGCCGTGTGACCTTAATGGACTTTCGATTGAATTCCTCCGAAGCATAGGGGGGACAGGCATCTCGCGTGATGGACAACCGCACGACACAAACGCACACGCGAGCATATTCGTGTGCCTATGCACGATCCACGACGAGGAAGAAGCTACAAGCGATTCGGATGGACAAAAGGTCCGTTCAGCGACAATTCATCACGATGCGACGAGACGGGAGGGAGGAAAAGAAAAGGTTGTTTTTAAAGCTGACTTTATCGATGGGTTTGTTTGCAATTTCGTCGAACGAAATACTCGCTTGTGAATGAAGATGTAATTTCGTGCATCGCGTTCTGTTTAAACGTTCGTTCAGATCGATTGAATTATTATTTCAAACAGCTAATGGCTCGATTTGACGTGAATTCGAAACTGGCACAAATATATGTACAATACGTGAATTTATTTATTCGATCAAAATCGAAGTTTTGTATCTGAACTTTCAAGTTTTTGATTTTTTTTCAATTGTCAATTGAATCGGAAGAATAGTAATTTCCCGACGATTTATTTCTAATTTCGTTGCTGACGATCTTTAGATTCGAATATTTTCAACGAATCGTATTTTTCATACTTGTAATGTTTCTCTCAAAATTCATAATTGTAATATTTTGTTCAACCGTGCCTCGTGTATTCATCATGTTTACATCGGTTTTTAGAATTGTTTTAATTAACGTTACAACGAAAACTTTTTCCTCTGTTGTCACTTTTCACCAAAATCTTAAATTTTTACGTCGATTTAGGTTGAACTCGGACTGCTTGATTAATCTGAACGAAGTTTCAGAGCCGCGACGATCGAATCCATCTACATCCACGTCGTTTCGATGATGGCCGAGCGACTGTAACGACTGGAGGAACTGATCGATAGTCATCTAGCAAAAATACGCTTAAGAATATTACGAGTGTAATTACTATGGGGAGGATCTGCGTAAGACTGCGAGGAAACGACGACTAAAGGATGTTTTTAGCCAGCCCTAATACGTCTCTAATTACAACGATCCAGAGTAATTGGACGATCCTGACAGAGACGAATAACGTTTACTTTTACCTTGAGCCTTAAGCCGTTGATACGTTGCACTGAAAGATAGAACGCCATTTCCACGATTAAAAGAACGAGTCGAGTAAAAAGCGATCGTCGGTGTGTGTAAATCAGAAGTGTAATTATCAGACCTCTCTGTGCGTTCGTTTCGAACATTTAAAGATACAGAAACGTGCGTAGGACGTGTAAAATATCCAAAAATACAGGATTTGTTATAGAATATTTAGTAGGCGAAATGAACCTCCATCCTGAATCTTCTACTTTTTTGATCTCCTTCACGAATTTCCACGAATTCCAGATTGCCTTTCAAAGTGTCATTAGAAAATTCATATCTTTGAGAATAAAAATTGTTTCACGCGCTAAATAAATTACAGAAATGTAATCCGGATGAAAATTCGCAGTTTGCCAATTGGAAACATTCTCTTTCGGGATTTTATTCCACAGAAACTCAAGCAACGAGTTGTGATTGGTAGCGAGGGCATGTAAACTGGCTCACGAATCATTTTATTTCCTTCAATTCGAAAGATCTGTGTACGAACCTCCTGTGCCTTCGATCTTAAAACACAATATTTGCACTCTGTCGGAAACGATGTAAGAACGATCCACGGAGA